TTTTTACTAGTTATTCTAGCGCCTTTGTCTTTTTAAAATATGTGAACTTGAAATGTTTCTGCTGTCGAACGTACCCTTCTCCCACCTGGCCTAGTCTACACAGGCTCAGGATGATTAATTTTTCCGTATATCTTATTTACCTCCCGCGTTTTTGTCAAACTCAGTCAATCGAACGACACTCCAATCAAACACCATTTTAGCTAACGTCACAGATCTCAGAAGACAAAGACCTTGCAATTTCGGTTAAGACATGGTTTGTCTCAAAATGTCACGTGCACAGACCCAGAAAGGCTGGAGTAGCTTCCATCAGAGAATTGAAGTGTCTGATCAAACAGTTCAAAAATTGTTAATGGAAGCCTATTGTGCCACTAGTTTGGAGAAAACTCTTTAATAATAACAGAACAACCACCTACTTCTACTGATATTCGAAGAGCACTCCAGCTATTTTATTCAACTGTTCTCACAGGAAAAGTGAAAGAATTCTCCTTGCCATGGACAGGTTCTTAAGCTTTACCTTCTGTTCTCTAACCTTCATCCTTTGACATATCTTCTAACAGATATAATAGATAAAATTAATTCACAACTCAAGTAAACAAATAGCATAAAATTCTTAACTCTTTCATACTTGTCTCTTTATCCTTTATTCTGTTGATAGAATCGTTTTTGCATGTGTGTTTTCATTAGTACCTGTATTGGATTCCAAGCCTTTAGAGAACAGACAGTTTTCTGTTCATTCATTTCTTCAGTCATAACTCATGTTCTGAGGTCCTGCTATGCTAGGACCTGAGATACACAGATGAAGTAAGCAACATCCTTACTCTTGAGGAGCTAACAGTGAGAGAGACACACATAGGGCAAAACAAACTGTTACAAAATGTGGCAAAAGAAAAGTAGACATCTGTATATGCACTAATGAGATCAACTACTCTGTCCTGAGAGGCATGAGAAAGGTACTGAGAGTAGGATTTTTAACTGGACCTTGATCGATTAGGAGAATAATCACGTGGACAAAGTCAGCGGAAGACAAGAATGAGGGCATTAGAGATAAAAGTCACATGGGAAGGCTCAAAGGCATAAAAGAACGTAATTATTTAAAAATAGTAAATCATGGGAAGTGGCTAATGCATTGGTTGTGTGTGTGTGTGTGTGTGTGTGTGTGTGTGTGTGTGTATGTGTGTGTGTGTCATACAGTTCAGGGTTGGGGAAGGGATAGAGAAATAGTAGGAAAAGTAGGCAAGCTAGTAAAGGGTCTCTATGCTAAATGATGGAGTTTAGACTTTATTTCACAGTCAAAGAAGAGCCGTTGGAAGTTTTCACCAAGAAATTGAGATGATCAGATGAGTCTGAGAAAGATTTTTCTTAAGCATTGTGGAGAATATTCTGGAACTCTTCATAGAAAGTAAATTCATCCTCGGAGAACAAAAATTATGTGTTAGAAATGTGCTTAGTTTCACTCAACAGAGTGAGAAATCTTTAATAATAACTTCAGTTTGATGTAAGTCACCAAGGTCCATCATAGATATGAGTAAGGCCTAAACTACGATTTAAGGGATGCTTATAAAGTGAAATCAATAGAATGTGAAGTACCTAATAAACATGTGTAGAGGATGCAGGCAGGGAAGGAGGAGAAGAGAATGATTGAAACAGTCCCTTAGGAGACTAGCTGGCTTGTATAATTAGGCACTGTAAATGGCTTCCGTAATTCTTTATAGAGCATAAAGCAATATACTTTTTTCAATGCGGCTTCCAAAACGCTTTTGACTGGCTATCAGCCGTCTGTCTATCATCAGAGCAACACTTTGAATTAAAATCCTAAATGGGAAAATGACCACAGGTAACTTCAGTTAAGTATAGTTCAAATTAAGATTCTTCATCCAGTTTCTGCATCCAAGTTTGATATATCAATCAGATATGTTTCAAAGGCTTCAACATTTTATACTAACATTTCCCAAGAATATTTTAATATTCTTATGCCATTTAGATTTAAATTCTTTTAAGTTCTTCCCTAAAGAAAAGCAGAAACAAATTCACTTTACAGAACCAATGAAAGACTTGAATGGGCAATTGAAATAGTCGTGCAACACTTTCAGATGAGCACAGATGTATTTATATGGGCTGAATGAAGCTAGTGTAAATAATCAGATGAAAATTAAGCCAGAAAGCAAACTGTAAATTAAAGGACAGTGCACTTTGACATATGTGCAAAAGTAATGGTTATGGTATTGTGTGCATCTATTTAGCAAACTTACAGATCATGTATTAGAGATAGAAGTAATCTTAAATACCATTTACTATATATCCCCTATCTTGAGACATGCAATCAATAATTTTATATAGTACTACCTGCCTCCGTGGTGGAAAAAAAAGCTGGAATCAAATCAATGTAGTAACTTATCATTGATATTTACAATAAAGGACATATGGTAATTCAATTCTCTCAAGTAAATAAAGTTCCTCAAAAACACATCAACATAGACATGTTATTGGAAATCAGAATGACCAAATTATATCTTATATATCTCAACTCCACCATAAGAAGGATAGCCCTCTCATTTTTGAAACTTATAATCTGTGGCAAGAAAGTAATAGGACACATGCAGGTTTTACTTGATTTGTGCGAACCTTGGGCATGAAGCTTGCACACATTGGAATATTGGAATCGTGTCCACGGTTTGCACATTTCTATGGTAACTGAGTATTAGAGAGAGAGAGGACTTTATTGTCTCTCTCTCTCCTCTCTTGTGTCTGAAATGGTCCCCCTCAGCCATCAACTCTTTGCATCCATCCACAGCATCCCAGGTTTTCCTTGTTTGGACAACTTCCATGACCACTACCCACATGCAAAATCTTTTTCTGGATATCACTGCACCCATCTGAATTATTTCTCTGTTGATGAACATAAGGAAAAGATGGTTTGATGCATACTAATTCTATTTATTTATGATCCACTTATTTTTAAAACCTTTAAAATATAAAACACGATGTATATAGAAAGGAATATTTCTAATATATATGCAAAGTATAAGAAATAACAGTTTGACTTAAGAAATCTAACATTTCTTATACATTTGAAACTATCAATTTTGTAATCTTTTTGGTGTTTCTTCATTTTATAATATAAGGCTTTTGGTGTTTCTTCATTTTATAAGGCTTTTAGTAAAGCCTTACAAAATGGAAATGGCCTGAGAATTCCCAAGTCCTGAGATGCCGTGCTTTATGGTGCTGTTCTATACATCTAAGACAAACTTATATTAATTTTGAAAGTGGCCATATTAATTGACGAAAGTTAAAGGTATATGCTTTATTTCACTATTAAGAGATAAATACTTGATCACTGTGAATGTAAATAAAACGTGCGTTTTAAAATCTTTCAAGGAAATCAGGTCAATTTTCCTCCTGTTTCCCAGATCTCAATAATCCATTGAGTGTGTTTGTATTCACTAGGAAAGGACATTTCTGTGGAATTAATCGAATACAGAATTCAATGTTCCTTGCAGATAATTTTGGTATGTTCCTTTGGGAACTTTCTAGTCTAAATTTTTATATTTCCTGGGAAAAGACTCACGTGTTTCAAATCCTCAGTCTTTTCTCTGTTAGTGAAGAACAATATAGCAAAACTTCTATACACAGAATTAATTATAATGTATGTTCAGCAAGACTGCTGGAAACATCATCATTAAAATAAAAGAAGGCGAATGTATGGGAATGTCATTTGAATGTAGCAAATAAAAGCTAATATTTAAAATGTTGTAAAAAGCATCATAATAATTGATTTTCTCATTTTACTAAAATTAAAAAAAAATTCTGATGTGAAAAATTAGAAAATGTTCATAGTTCTTAGTATACTCCAGTAAATCCAGAGATGACAAATCTTAATTGTTGAAGAAAATCAGTGGTACTGCTTTTGGTGACAATAAAAAACTCATGTTCGATGCCTAGTTAAACCTTTGAAATCTATTGTTTGGAATCTTTTGTTCTTTAATGGTTTTCCTAAATTTACAAAAAAACTAGGATTCTTATCCTGGCCATGGCTTTATATTTCATATTAATATTTCATTCTGTAAGATGATGCTGCTATTATTCATTCTATAGACATGTTAATTTAGCCCTACAACCTGAATAAGCCTATAGCTCTTTCTACTATTGATGGTTTTATCTGTACTTTTACATCTGAACAATTGCTCAACAGCAGTCACAAAGACCTGGCACTTGGACTCAATTCTACCTGCTGTTTTATGTATGTATGTATGTATGTATGTATGTATTTTACATGGAGTTTTATTTGGCTAGCTTGGTATGGTACATTTAAATGGAGATGCTCAGGAGTCAAGTGATGAACAAAATCTCTAAAGCTAGAGATTTTGGAGTCAAGAGAATATTTGGGAAGGTTGAAGCCACAGGTAGGGAGGATATCCCAAGGGAGAATACATGGTAGAGGAAGATCTTAGGACAAACTTCCGAACTCTCATTAAATAGATACCCTATAAAAGACTTGAGAAATAAAAGAATGGCCCAGAAAATACAATGTACTTGATTATTACTTTCTATTTTAGTTAGAATAAAAATGACTTGTTATTTCCATGGAACTCTGCCTCCAGAGTTCTCCAGCAAGATAGTAAGTGATGACAGTTAGTGAAAGCCCTATTAACAATTCATATTTATGTCCTTGAGGTGAAATCATCTTATTTCAACACATCACATTCTCATTGAATTCCACAGTTAGTGGATGATAAATGCAAGATGTTTTTCACAATCTGGCTGTTGGCTTGATGCATTTTGTTAGCAAAACACACAGAAACTGCCAAGATGGGAGAGTGGCCTTTCTTAAATCACTCCAAGTGTCACCATAACTACAGTATATTTTTCTAAATTGGTGGATTTTCTCTTAAGAAAATAAAAATTTATTCAAGTGCTTGACTCATACTGTATTGAGGCTTTATAATTTCTCCTATCAATGAAATTTGCTTTTATATATATATGAATCATTTTCTAATTCACAGGATTAAGCCAAAATGACAACTGCTCAATTTGACTGTCAATACTGCACAACATCACTTCTTGGGAAGAAGTATGTATTAAAGGATGACAATCCATACTGCATTTCATGTTATGATCATGTCTTTTGTAACTATTGTGAGGAGTGCAAAGAAGCAATTGAATCAAATTCCAAGGTAGGTCTTATCTCAGTTCACAAAATTATTGCATATAAACAGCAGACACATGCTTTGGAATGCCTCTTTTCCTTTACTTGACTGTTACTCTATTGCTCTGCTGCTGGATATAAGGATCTTCAAAGTTACCGTCAATCAATTTCTAGGCACCATGCTTAGCACTGCAAAACATAACTTTAATCCTCTCAATGATCTTAGGATATAGTTTAGGATGTTAAATATTAAAGAAGTTATTCGCCCAAAGTTACACAGATAAAATATTGAGTTATTTCTGGAACGACAAGAGTCTAAATGAATAAGTACATAATTTAAAAATCTATATTTTCTAACTTTAAATCAGCATCTCACCACTAAACCCCTTGTGCCTTGATACCTTTCACGCCTACAGCCCATTCCACCCACGATGCACATTATCGTACTTTTTCCTTTTTCTTCATTTTTTTTGCCTTTGTTTTAGTTAGATGATTTTGAGATTTTGTTTAGTTAAATATCAAACGATAATAGGTTATGACAACCTAAAAGCAAAAATCATTCCATAAAAATTCTTTCTTGTTTATAAAGGGAAGGTAGAAGAAATTAGAAGAAACAGAAGAGAGTCCATTTATTTTCAATCTGTTGTTAGTGACCAACCAAGAAAACCCCAAGCTCTAGCTCTTAATTGCCCCAGAGAGTCTCCTCTTTATGGGTAATAGTATCAATAATAACTTTCCCTCAAGCTACCAGCACAACATACTGGCACCAGAGTCCCAGGAGTGTTCAGTTTTCTCTTATCAAATGCCCTGTTTTGTAGCAAATACATTTAATTAACTTTATTCACTGTCTCGAAGGATCTTTGTTACAAAGGCCGGCACTGGCATGAGAGATGCTTCAATTGTGCCAAATGTAATCACTCTCTGGTGGAAAAGCCTTTTGTTGCCAAGGATGAGCGCCTGCTGTGCTCTGAGTGTTATTCTAACGAGTGCTCCTCCAAGTGCTTCCACTGCAAGAAGACCATCATGCCTGGTAAGATCACAGGGGGATTCTGGTGCCTAACCGAAGCTGCAATGCTTTGAATTAAGTCCAAGCCTGGGAAAAGTATAGTAGCTAATAAGACCTTGCTTTTGAGAAAGAGAGCTTTTTTGCTATCTGTTGATCTCATTTAGTAGAAATAAAAAGGTTATTCTTTCTGTCTTGCCCAGGTAAATTACAGTGTTCTGTTTATTTTCATGAACTTAAACCATAGAAATATTTTGAACCAGACTCTGATAGAATAAAGATAAAATTTATACCAATAATACTAACACTGCATTAAACATCCTGTTCTAGAAAAAAACAATGGCACCAGAAAGCATTCTGTCACAGGAGAATGGAGCCAACCATTATTTTTGTAGCTTGACACCAACTGGTTTTGAGAGTCAATCATCTTCATTCTCTCTTAGAGAGGATAAGGATCAATGAAAATCATTAAACTTTTAGGCAAGCACTAGTTCTCCATGTTTTGATCCTCTTCTCAATCCCTATAGACAGCAACATAAGAACGTGATTCTCTCTTATATTCTTATAACAGATTCAAAGACTTCCTAGGAGACCATAACTGCACAACACCAATCTAAGGAGATTGTTCTCCCAGCATTTCTAATATCCCTAAAATTTACCTGAACCACAAGCAGCCTTTTAGAGTCTCCACTCATAGTACTTTCACATCTCAAAATTGTAGCTTACGCGGCAGAAGAAGTTTCAGTGAAAGAGTGATTCACTGTCATCATGGCTGAACTCTATTTACTTTTTTTTCCAGATAAATGTTTTTGGAAATCAACAAAACATTTTTTATAAGAACAATTAGTTTATTATCTTAACTTTAAAATATATATTTTAAGTAATTTGCTTAAAAGAAAATAAAGTTGTACTTGATTTGTACTAACAGATTCTTCTGGGATACAGGTTCCCGCAAAATGGAATTTAAAGGCAATTACTGGCATGAAACCTGCTTTGTGTGTGAGCATTGCCGACAGCCGATGGGAACTAAACCTTTGATTTCCAAAGACAGTGGCTATTATTGTGTGCCGTGTTTTCAGAAGGAGTTTGCTCACTACTGCAGCTTTTGTAAGAAGGTAATTATCTAAAGAAGGTGAAGCTTGTGGAAACTTCCAGACCATTGCTTTTTAGCCTCACTATATATTTGGAATGAACTGATAATATCATGTTATATCTATCTTTACACATCCATGCCAGTTTGAATTCCAATATGTCCAAAAACACCACCTGTCACAGCAAGGAGGGCCATCAACTTTGATCACTATAAATTTCCACCCAGAACATGAATTTAATATTCCAAAATCAAGTGATTTGATATTCCAGTTCCATTCACTTGTATAAGATTGCATGTATCTATTAGAGGATATGCATCTCTCTTTGAATACAAAATATTTCATAGAAAATAATTTTCGATCCATTTAGTTTCATAAAAACATAGATTTGTCTCACAGAGTGATGAAGTGAACCAATTTAAACAAGATGTTTAACTCCTCACATTATGTCTCAGCAACACGAATGTCTTCTTGGCTTGAAGCTTTTCTGTTTCGAAAGGACGGTTATGCAAGGCTCAAGAGAGTGATGAGATCGTCAGGGAAATTCATTAGACAGAAAGATAGAAAGAAGGTTAAGAGCTTTGACTGGTTTCCTTCGCTTCACTTCCAGTCCTAGAGTATCATGTAGGGCCCTCTGACTTGGATACCCATTGAAAATATGTTTTTCAATAGAAAAAAGTCATTTTTTTCAAGTAAACATTGTCCAATTCTCTTTTATTCTCTAAGCCTTTATGTGAAAAAGTTGCTCATCTCCATCACCTTGATAAATCTATCTGTAGTCCAAAAATATGTATTGATGTTCTCAAAGAAATCCTTGACCTGTGAGGCATCATAAGTTTAAAATAGCACTATAAATTGTACTGAGAAAGCGGAATCATGAAAACATATTGGATTAGTACAGTGGTTTCTAAATACTTTTGATTTATGGGCTACTTTGGCAAATATCTTAAGACCTTTTATATACTTGCATCTAGACATCTAGAAGTTTCATTAACACTTTCTACAAATGCATATACAAACATGGATGCACACATAGCACACAAACATGCACGCAGTAATTTTCTAGGGATATTTAAAATACTACTACTGCATTTGAGGAGACATCAACAAACTCCAATTTATAATTATTAAATTATACTATAATGATGGTTGAAAGTTACAAATGATGGTAATATGACATAAAACTATCTTATACCTGAGACTTCCATTACTCTACCAGAAACACTGACTTAGAAAATGACTTTATACGCAACAGTCAGACCCTATGACCCTGTGAGGTGAAGCTCCAAAGAATTACGAGTCAATGACATGCATTTAGAAACAGATGCTGGTAATAAAGTGGATAGATTTATCTCACTAAGTTGACCATATTTGGGCTATGTTTCTTAAAGAATTATGTGAAAATATTAATGAGACTTGTAGGGATTGCCTTAAAACCACTTAGTGGGCATGCAATATAAAATTTCTTTTGATGCTATGAAGATTTAAGGAGGAAAATTCTCTAATACATCAGGTTCTGAGCACTGTTTGGGGCCAAATCACTGGCATTTCCCAGGTTATGGGAGCCTGTCCTATATTTAGGACATGATTTGAAGTCACCAAACATTTATGAAATGTTTATATTGGGTAGTAGACAGATCATGACATGCCAGATTATTTTCTATTTAACTTTTTAAACCACAAGTCCTTTAACGAAGGCCTGATATAAAAGTTTCTGATCAAGATGATCCAAGATGAAGAAAAACAATTAGTTTCAACCCAACCAAAGACTAAATATAAACAAAACAAAATAGAAAAAAAACTACTTGACAATCGGGCCCTTAAAACTTTTTTCATAGGCTTTTTTGTGAAGCTAAAATTTATTTTTTCTCAAACAGCAAGTAACCTCAAACTGTAAGTTTTTTAATTAAACTTCTCAAGGTTCAAATAGAGTATTCTGCGATTCATTGGCTGTCATATACTAAATGCAAAATCATTATTGTCTCCACTTTGCCAGAGAAGAAACTTGTTCTAAATCCTGAGACCGATCAGTGGCAAAATCCACCCTTAGACATTAGACTTCATCCTAGCCCACCTGCCTCTTCAAAAGGAAAATAATCACAAGCAAACTATTTTTAATGTTCTGAGTTTCTTATCCCTAATTAAACAGTTTTACCTTACTTATCAAGGTTTTTGCTGTGAATACATTTTTCAAGCTTTGAATCTTTTAAGTGTTGCCTGCTAATCATTTGATCAAATAAATCAAAGGAATCTTGAATTCCACTGTGCCTTCTATAAGGCATTTGAAGTTAATAGGGAGTATTTTAAATTGCTTGTGTTCATACAGACCATCACAGTTCCCATTTACTTATTTAAAATAGTATACTTTTTCCTTTAGGAAAAATAACTTTTCTTTTAAATATCTTTAATTTGTAAGATATTTGTTATAAGATTTTGAAATATCTTTAGAATAATGTTTTCAAAAGTCTGTATCATAGGCAAATAACACTTTTTACTTTGTCAGCAATATGATGGCTTAGAATAGGCTCTATGTTTTCTGTGTCTATTTAATTGAAGACTGAGATTATAAGAACAATCTCTGATACCACCTTGCTTCAGCCATTATAAGACATTTACATGAGCACATTTTTGGTTCCACAGCTATTCCAGAAGCTCAATAGCCATGGATTTGAAAGAAGCTATGACTTAAAAAGTGTTGTACAAGAAGAGGTGTCCAATATTTACCCATGTCATTCTAAAGATAGATGTTTCTGCCTTTTAAAAAGTAGAATCCATGAATTAAACTACTTTAGAAAAAAGGTGCATTATGGAGGAATAATAACCATCTCTGACAAAAACCTTAGCACGTCACAGGTAAAGGTTCAACGTACAACCAGTGTTCATTACTTAGAGTCCTAAAGCTGAAAACTTAGCAATTGCCCACAGTCTCCCATTCATTCTAGATACAATGTTGAAATTGCTTTCCAAACACTTTTTCCCCTTGAAATTTATACATTTATTCAGCAAGGATTTATCAACTATTTATCAATACAAAGTAATCTCTCCTCAGAAGTGTATCAATGTTTAAAAACATGGGCTGCAGGTTAGAATGTTTGCTCTGTGATCTTGGCAAGTGACTTAACCACTCTAACTCTAAGTATTCACTTATCTCTTAGGGGAAAAAAAAATAGTCTCTGCTGTGGAGCAGTATTCAGAATGTTAATAGGTCATCCTTTAGCTCAGGGCTGAGGACTTAAGAAATGTTAGCTATCGCTAGCAGATGATGGTGCTTATCAATTCCACTCAGAGTTGCCACCGCTGAATATTCTTAAACCCGGAGAAAAGCTTCCAAGAAAAAAACTTTTTTTCAGCATCCTTAAAAGGTAAACGTAAAAATAAGAACATTGTAAAAAATATCTCAGCTCTAATGGCAGATCTTTGAAGACCAACAAGAAAGTCATAGAAAGATGAGCAAAGGAATCAACAGGCAACTTCTTTCACATCTTCCTGGATCCATTATGGCCCTGCTTCTTTTCTGTTCCATTATAGAATAAAAATTAGGATATTTCTCACTAGTTCAATTTAATCCCTATAGCCTTTTGCTTTTCATATCAATTCAAAAAATCATAGGAAATGGACATCCTGACATAGGGTGGTTGAGTAGCCCAAACCACTTGTGGACATAGAAGAGAATCACGAAAGTTCTGAATTGTAATGGCTCCCACAGTCATTGCTGTTTTGTGATCCTTTGGCAGGTGATAACTTCAGGTGGGGTAACGTTCCGTGGTGAGCCATGGCACAAAGAGTGTTTCCTGTGTAGTGGCTGTAGAAAAGAGCTCTGTGAAGAAGAATTTATGTCCAGAGATGATTATCCATTCTGCTTGGATTGCTACAATCGTCTTTATGCCAAAAAGTGTGCAGCCTGCACCAAACCCATTACTGGTGAGTTCTTCAGTTTAATGCGGTCTTACCATGAGATAGTTACAGCTATGTAAATGCTATCTAGTTAATTTAAGAAATACAAGTGAAAAATGGATAATCTTTTTCTTATGTTTCCTTTTGAGATAAACACACATGTGTACTCATATATAAATGTACATATTACACAGACCCCTCGAGGCAAGTATAGAGTATAATTTGGGTAGCTGTGCTCTGTAGAGGGTAAACAATGCTAAACTTAATGGTACTGACTCTAAGGAGTGTAATAGTCTGGGAAAGAAGGAGAACAGGATCGGCTGAGAGGTCAGAAAAGATCTTCATGAGGAGGCCTGATCTAAACCAGACCTTTAAGGATTTGAGTGGGAGGAAGAGATACTTAGAAATCAAAATCCTGCTTAATTCCAAACAAGGGTGAGGGGCCTTAAAATAGAAAACTTTTTTTTATTAAATGTAAGTATTGCACAAAAATTCAAAGCTGTACTAATTAGGGTAACATAGATTAGGAATTAATTAAACTTCATTTTAAGATGCTTCTAACAAATGTATTATTATCTTTCCTCTATTCACTTACAATAAGTTGTAATTATACATAGATGAACTAAAACAAGATAGCATTCTGCTGAAGAAACAAAGTACATGTGACATGATGTGAAAATAATATAAATGGTAAATCAATCTGTGTTAAATAGATTTTCAAGGCAAAAAAACGCATTACATTTTCCTCAGAGACACTTCTCAAATGTTAATCTTATAGTAAAGGAACTGCAGCTAACATGACACCTGAGGAACCCAGCGGCTGTTCTTTTAGGCAATTTGTATCACTGAATAATGTGGCAGAATTCCCCACTCCTAGAATTCCTAGATTATATTTCATCTTCTTAGATTCAGTTTATGTAACATAGAATTAAAGATTATTTTATCCCTCTCCTCCTCCTCCATCTTTAAATATATCGCAAAATAAAAGTTGAGTCTTTACGAATCTTTAAAGAAAGAAAATACTTTCACTGCAAGCCCAGCATGGCAGGCTTTCACGGACTTGCAGGGGAGAGAGAGAATTACCTGGGTAAACACTGTACAGTCTTGTTTGTCTATCAGGGGCACCATGTTTTTCAGAATCAGGGCTACAATTATTATCTTTCCTCTATTTACTTACAATAAGTTGTAATTATACATAGATGAACTAAAACAAGATAGCATTCTGCTGAAGAAACAAAGTACATGTGACATGATGTGAAAATAATATAAATGGTAAATCAATCTGTGTTAAATAGATTTTCAAGGCAAAAAACGCATTACATTTTCCTCAGAGACACTTCTCAAATGTTAATCTTATAGTAAAGGAACTGCAGCTAACATGACACCTGAGGAACCCAGCGGCTGTTCTTTTAGGCAATTTGTATCACTGAATAATGTGGCAGAATTCCCCACTCCTAGAATTCCTAGATTATATTTCATCTTCTTAGATTCAGTTTATGTAACATAGAATTAAAGATTATTTTATCCCTCTCCTCCTCCTCCATCTTTAAATATATCGCAAAATAAAAGTTGAGTCTTTACGAATCTTTAAAGAAAGAAAATAGTTTCACTGCAAGCCCAGCATGGCAGGCTTTCACGGACTTGCAGGGGAGAGAGAGAATTACCTGGGTAAACACTGTACAGTCTTGTTTGTCTATCAGGGGCACCATGGTTTTCAGAATCAGGGCTACATCGGGCTGCAGGCATGTTTTTTTGGCCTGTCCATGTTTGGAAACTATAATGTAATGTAATATAATATAAAATCCATCTCTGTGCCAAAAGTAAATGAAAGAGCCTGCCAGGGGTGAGACAACTACCCTTATACTCTCTGGTTGAGTCACTGTCATATGGAGCTAAGTGGCTGCCCTCTTACGTAGGGCCTATCTTCTCTGTTCCTCATGCCTTGTTTCCATCACTCAGCTACATCACCTTTTAGCCCTATCAAAAACTGGCTTTTATAATCCCATATGATCAGTCTCCAAAGCTTGGGCTCTTAACCACTCTACTCTCCTGCCTTTTACACAGCTGACAATTCCCATAGTCAAAAAAATAAGCCATTGTCTTTATTGATTTTTAGCTAGAAAATGGGACTTCCAGAAATGCAACAGTATTTGGAGCTCTAAAATTTCCTTACTAGAATCTGCCATCATAGCCCAACACATTAAGTAGACTTATTCTAGAACTCTTTTGGGGGGGGTTAGGAAAAAAAGGGTGGATTTATGATGAAATGAGAAAATTAAACGACTCAAAATGGGTTTGAAAACTTTGGGGGACCCAAATGGCTAATACTAGTCTGCAAAGAGTCAACACAAACCCTGAACTTGACGAGTTTCAATTCTGATCTATAATAGATTCATGTGTCTAACTGATTTTTTCTCATGGGTTATTGCTGGTCGATCAACTGAGCCCAGCTTTTTAAGATTCAGATGGCAAAACCACATTGCTCTGCATGTAACACAAAGATGATTAGGAATCAGAGATTTGACCCGAAAGTAATCCAAATGAGGATTATGTATTTAATTCAGAATACATAATTCAGTCTTTTGATAATTATCTTAATCTTCTTTTGGCTTAGTGACAGAGATACCAGAGACTATTATAGCCTGCAAAAACTATCAACTCACTTTAATATTTTTGATCTGATTCTTAAACATGTATATTAATATATATATATGTCCTACAGTAGTATTTCTTTAAAATTGAGCTATTTGAACTACTATATCATAGAGAATTCTTATATTGCCATATATTTATCTTCTGAAAGTTGCATATTCATGCAAACAATGTCACCTTAAGAAACTACTTTATAATGTCTTCAAAATACTGTTTTAAATTAACTAAATCTATAAATTACCCAGTATAATTTTTTTTAAATCCCATCACAATGCATTTGATTCATCTGAGCAACTCGAGGTATAACTATATATATTTTTTCTCCTCCTCTAAGATGAGATTAAACTTTCAAACTTTCTGGGATAAATGAAGCAACTTCATGTAGTGAGAAGTGCTCTGGACAAGGGGGTAAATTACCTTGGTCTTGCCTCTACCTCTGACTACTGTGTGACAATGGGTAAATAATTTGCCTCTGAGGCACTTATTTGCCTTATCTGAAAAATAAAGAGTTGGACAGGATTACATCTTAGCTTTCTGTTTATTTTGACTGAAAGGAGTTTCAAATGTTATGATTTCTTCACAAAGGGATGCTGTTTCATGTTATTTATTTTTTTTACAAAAGGTAAATTCAGACTTAATTTGGTGAAGTTAAAAGCTTAGGCTCTGAAACCAGATAGTCTAAGATTGAATCCAGATCTGCCACTTACCATCTTGGTGATTTGGACAAGTGGTTGAATTCTCTGTCAATTTTTGCATGCAAAGTAGGGTTGATGATAATATCTATCCCATGAAGGTGAGGTGAGAGCTCTGTGAAGTAATATGTGTAAAAGGCTTAAAATAGTGACTGGGTCATCTTCAAGTACTCAACAAATGCTAGCTCTTGTTCTACTAAATTTTCAGGAGTAAATAAAACCAGGTAAAACAGGTACCAGAGACCTGTTTTCTGGATGACTTTCTCACTGCAAATGACCCTCATGACCTGAGAGGAGTAAACATATCTAAAATTGAAACACTTTATAAACATCTCACATGTTGAATTAGGCCTGTCTTAAATTCCTGCTACCAGGTTCTTCTATTTTTTCTTCTTTATAAAATTGTAGAATTACTTTATATTTGCCACTGTACAAGCTTACTAATAAAATCAAGAAAAACTCATGACCATCAAAATGCTAGATGTGTAATGATTAGTTTTATGAAGAGATGATTTGTGTATATATAGAACATTATTCTTACAGTCAGCTTATTAATGTTTTGATAACATTAAAAGAATTAATAGATTCATCACTGATTTACTCTTGTTAGAAAGTAATGATAGCATCATAAATAGCAAGCTATAAATTTAATCAAGGAAAGTAGAGGAATTTGATGTAAATTTATCTATGAATTAGTAAATTGTATGTAAAGACATCAAATAACATTTCTAGGATGGAAATAAAAGTTTATTATCATATTTAGTTTATCTGAAATAAAATGTTTATTCACTCTTTTGCTTCACCATCTCAAATGGCATATTTGGAAATTATATGTGAATCAGCACATGAACTATTTTAGCCTTATTGTATTGGTAATAAGCAAATCATAAGAAGTTCTTAGCACTAAGATCACTTAGCAAATAAATAAAGATTCAAATCTAAGGCGTCCCAACCTCTTCCCAATTTCTAGACCTTTTCTCCTTTTCTCCAACTCCTCTAAATCAATTCCTTGAACTGCACCCTGGATTCATATTAAAAATATAGAGAATAGAGTCTCACTGAACTCAAATTCTACTACCTTTTTAGAAGCCCCATAGCTAACTTAATTCCCAAGCTGAAGTGCTGGAAGCTGACAAGGCACTTCTTAGAAATTAATCATTAAATAGCCTGGCCTCAGTGCCAGAGTAATCAGATTCACAGATCTTTGTCACAAGCCCAGGCTAAAGTTGTCTCTGGGCAAAGTAATAAGGTCGTCCCATTGGGCTAGCTACATGATAATCTGGACGAGTTCGCTCTTTGGGGGTTTTGGAAATTGTGTCCCAAACCATAATATGACCATGAGACTTTATCCTAAATAAAACTAAATATGTGAGAAGAGAACTAAGAGTCATTAAAACATCAGACATCAGGCTGGGAAGTACACATTTATTTTATGTTATCTTAACTTCGACTGTAAGAAAACAAGGGCAAGAAGGAGAAAGATATTTATACTTAGATATCTCTGACTTGAAAACCTATACATACCTTCTTCCCACAGCACGACACTATATTTCCTTGTCTGTCTTACAATCTTTATCTGTTTCGCAAAACATGTTTTATATACCCAGATTCTATCTACTTTTGTAGATTATGAGAAAATCTGGCTGAGAATCAGGCTGAGTATCAGAGGAGGAACTTGCCGATAGGTGACATTCCCAATGCGGGCCACCGGGGGGCAGCATTCTGTTTTAGGTTACTTACCTCTACAAAGTCTTGCTCATCGCTGTATCTCCAGTTCTCAGAGGAGTTCCTGATAGAATGCCCTATCTATTCATTGAAAAAAATAGATTATTCTTTTTCTCCAATTCCTTTACAGGTCTCAGAGGTGTCAAGTTTATCTGCTTTCAAGACCGCCAGTGGCACAGCGAATGCTTTAACTGTGGAAAGTGCTCAGTCTCCTTGGTGGGGGAAGGCTTCCTGACCCATAACAAGGAAATCTTCTGCCGCAAATGTGCCTCCGGGGCTGAGACTGACGTTTAGAAGGAGATAGTCCTTCCGCACCTAAAATCCACCTTGCTTTCGTTCTCACTAAATCCAGAACTTGGTTGAAGTAGTATTTCTGACTTACCTATTAGAAAATATTAACGTAGAGTTTATAGTGTGAGAGTTTTTGCACATATTCTTATTGAACTGCATTATAAGAGCTCCAAAAAGGCACAGTCTAACAGAAATGAATATGTACTCAATCGCAAGGAACCTCTCCTTGCAAAATACTGCACTCTGCTGTTAGAAACATAGGAAAATATCTCTTTATCATAATCAAGTATATGACCTATACGTAGAAGTCATGCATGTTATTACTGAAGACAAATGATTTTCAAAACTGCAGAGTAAAAAGGAAATTAAGAGATCAAATTGAAAGGCATATGTAAGACTGTTTGCATTTCTAACAAGCTAGTTACACATAATGTGATGGATTGGCTATGAATAGTAGGAGAACAATGATCAGTGAAAACATTTAAGAATTCTGTCATTTTGTCATTTTATTGCTCGTACATACTGTTTCTGAAAAAACAAAGCTGCAATTTGCCCTCATCCACACTGCTTTCACAGCTGGTTGGTTCCTATGTTTAATCAATGGAATTTGAGAATTGTGGGCACCATGGCTCTCATACTCTACATAGATATAAAGGGGTTCTTTCTACTTGGGACAATCAAAACATAGGTTTCAACACATTTTGTGTTAAATATATTTTCAAAGCCCACAATGATTTTTCTAAATACTTACAGATTCCATGAAAGAAAATGTCTATTCTTTCAAATGAGCTAACCAGGATAATCATTGTCCCTGAAGGCAAAACTTTAAAGTAAATAGATCATTAAATCATCACTTGTGGAAATGAGTTTTAGGGAAGGAATTGAGTATGGGAACATGATTTTCATCCAGATATCTAAAGGCATAATAGAATGCATAATTAGCTCTGAGCCTCATGCATTTTGACTTCTAAAATTACATAGATGATTAATGGAAAGATATAAAAGTGGGTTTTAAAGAAATCTAGTAATAATAAGAACAGAGAAAGAATAATTCACTGCTGGAGATTCAGGACCTGTAAAGCAGTAGAGTATAGCAATGTGGGCTGTAGAGGACCCCTCACACGTTCTTCCACCCCTGTGCCACCTAGCTCACACATGCCAACTATGCCCCAGAACTTCAGCCTCCTGCATGACCCAGAGGTGCACTCCCAACCCAAAGCAACTATTCTAAAATTACATTAGTTTTTATTGGTCGTAAGAGAAGTAACAGCCTTAGTGAAAAATCTGTCACCATATGTTTAGCAACTGATGACGACCCTACCTAGCTGCTTCTCTACAATATTTTCTGCATTATGTGGGACAAATGGAAAGTAACCTCTGCTCTCTATGGTCAATTATCACCCTTTTTAAGTGTCAATTGGTTGGGATAAAGAGAGGTTAGGAGAAGAAACCCACATAGTCGTAACATTTTTATGTATCTACTCAGATTACTACATGGTATAAAAAGTTCTGATTGAAATTTAATTATATGTTGTGGCTGATCACAAATGATTAAAATAACATCACAGGAGACTCAAAGTAGTTATGGAAACAATTTTTGAAATAGTTTAAAATGCAAGAACGTTTGGAGATGCTAACGATTTAGATACTAGTAAAAGGTCAGGCTACATAGGTTACTTCAAGGATATAATTGTCTCCTTTTGTACTAATGCCAAGATAGTTTCTCATATTCACTTTATAAAATGTAAGAAAAACTATCAGTATTTTTCCTCATTTGTTTGAAATTGCATATGTGGAACTAAATATGCCAATTGTTCTATGAGCTACAAAATAATAGTTCATTACACATTTAGAAAACCAAACATTGGATGTCTGGATAGATACACAGCATGTAACAATTGTCTCAGTTAACCAATTACATATAAACATACAAAATGTAATGTTTTCTTAGTTAAACAATTGTTAATATTTAGGCATTTTGCAGGGATGGGGGCAGTGAGTATGCACATGATCTGGCTTGCATTTTATCTGTACAATTAAAATTCACAAAATCATTTCCAAGATACAGATGTTGTTATTCTTTGATATAGTATATATAGTTTTGCATATAAATTTCATATTTAGAATGTAGCAATTAAAGTAAAACTTTTATACCATATACTACAGTTGATTTCAGGCCAGTAAAGGGAAAAGCTCTCTAACTGACCCATTTAAAGATGGAATTGACTGCCACAGGAAGCAGTAGGCTCCCAGTGATTCAAGGAGTGGCATCTGCACAGATAGGGAAGCAGTTAGAAGCAAATCCTGTGTAATAACAACTGGATAGATTGGAAGTAACAGAGCAACTGTGCCAAAGAGCAAGAAGAAATGATATTGCTAAAAAAGAAAGGATCAGATGAAGGGAGAATATTAACTCTTAGGCTATATCATGCAATAGAAAGTTACTAATTGTTCTTAAATAGGAGAGAAAAAGCATTACAACAGTGTTTGAGAAAGATCATATTAATGATTCTGTGTGGCCTAGAACTGAAGAGGATAAGGTTCAAAAGACTAGGTCTCTAAAGAAGTAATACATTTGGTTAGTGGCAATGTAAGTGAAAACAGAAAAGCGATAAGTAATGCAGACCATATTTGTCAGAGCTATATTTGTCAATATAGATGAGTATGCGAGTCAACAAATCAAAATATTTTATGTTGCTGTGTTGGAGTTAAAAATGACAAAGAAAAATGCAGAAAAGAATTTCTGCTTCCCGCATAACAGATAGGGTGCCCAAGGGTTCAATTTCCACTTAACCAATGGATCTTAGAATAATTAATGTCTGTTAGTTAAACGAAGTGTGATAGTGCTACAATCATGAGTTCAAAACTCACATAGTCACTATAACTTAAAAAAATTATGTTGCATATTGGCGTGAAAGATTGTCAACCATTGTAAAAATGCATAGCACTAATAACAAATGGCCTTGGTTAAAAATCACCACAAAACTTAGTACCACAAATGAAAAATTACTCCAAAACATGTCTGATATTAGTTACATCATTTTTAATTTAAGAAAAAAATACTTTTTAATCTACTTGGGATATTAATCATAATTCATATTTTAAATAAAATAATTGTTATAGTATATTTTAGATATATTTAATTGAGCACATAAATTTTTCTCAAATACATTTTTATATAGATGTTTATTACTGAAATAATACAGTTTTTATTTGTTTTTCAAATTGTGGCTTTCTGAAGTTTCTTATGCCAAATAAATCTGCATAGTATATATGTCTCAAATTGTTTTTAGATCTTTATTTTTACATTAATTATATAGTAAACAGAGTAGGTATGTAATAACTTTGTAGTGATTCCTACTCCAATTACATAAAGGAAGTATGATGACTTTTATCTTCTTGTCTCATCCATTTTTCCAACACCCTAATTAACTATATGTTCAGACATTATTTCAGGGCATTAATAAATAAATAACAGAATTGATTTTTGTCTGACACAAACAGTAATGCATTTCCTCTAAACTACATCTGTGCTCTTTCTTACAGTGAACAAATTTTAAAATATTCTAAACTAAGAATTATTTTATTTATAATTTCTATGATTCTACGTATATTCTATCACAAATAGCTCACTTCAATTGATTTTTCCTGTTTTGATTGAGATCATCTTTGCTAATCTCTTATTATTCCTACATAATAGGAATTGTTAGAACTCAGAGGTTATATACTTTTATTTTACCTAAAGCAAAATTTGTATCTGTAACACAAGCCTTCACGATACATTAGCTAATCCATACTAGTTAGGTTCTCTCCAGAGCTGTGTTAGATTAAGCCACTTAATGTCAGAATGCGTTTCACAGAGAAATATTTGGAAAAACATATCTCACCAAACATTTCTAGTTCATTTTTTAAATCACATGGCTTTGAAATATAATGAAATTCTTTTGGGTACTCAAAAGGTAAATTCTATGTCTTGGAATTGTGTTTATTCAATGAAAATTCAGTAAATCAATGAAAATTATATTTGCTAAAATGTTACTTTTATCCTGAGCCCCTTCCCCAGAAGCATCAGATCTTGAGATCATTATTCAGCCAGAAACATTTCAAGAGTCAGTTAGGATAACTATAAAGAAATGTTTGGGGAACTTTGAGGTTCTCTTTCCAAGAAGAAGTAAAGACTTGGGGAAAATGTCATAAGACTGATTGACCTTACAAATTCTCTGAAGTCACTGTATCCAGATTTTGTTATTCCAGCATAACAAAAGAACACCAAGGAGCAAGGATGCTAAAATCTTCATTTGAACCATCTAATTCAAGAGAACTTAAGAGATGAGTCCTTCCACTCAGCCATCCATGTGGCTCCTTAGACGGTCCTAAAATGCATCATCTAGAGAGAATTAGAGTTCTTTTTCAGAATTCTGAATATTCTGACTTTTCCCAGATAACTAGCTTTAAGGCCAGATACCCAATGGCGTTTGGGAAGATATTTCTCAAATTGGGAATCAAAAAAGAGGAGAAAAAAAAGAGATCCATGCTCCAGTTTAAGTATAAAAGAAATAACAGGATTTATGTGTATTTACAATGACTGGATTATATATATCTCTGTAGTTGAGAAAGTGAACAGCTCACTGTGATAGAATTATGATCCATGTCAGAGAGGAGCAAAGAGTATTTGGGTCAAATATTTTCCCACGAATGGTAACAAACTCATGAAGTCAATGTCCATAAAGGGTTCTCTGAATGAGGAACATTAATGAGCTCAACAGACATCCATTCAGTGACTCAAACAGTGACATTAAATGCCATTCCCACCACATGCAAAAACAAAAATCAAGTTTGATATTTATGGAAGTCCACACACTGAATCCCAAAGGCTTATCATTTCTTTATACAAATGGTAGCCTGTCCCTGGTTTATCTCTGCAGCATCATTTATGAAGCTGTTTATCTGAGAATTCTAATCCAAGCTCGCAGATAGGAAATAACTGGAGGAGTATGGATCTAAAGGAAAAATAGAAAAAAAAAAAAAAGAAAGAAAGAAAGGGTATAAAAAATTAACATTCCTA